GAGCAGGGAGCCCGATGCGGGACTCGATCCCAGGACCCTGGGATCATGACCTGAGCCGAAGGCAGTCGCTTAACCAACTGAGCCACCCAGGCGCCCCCAATTTCTAATACAATGTATACCTATGCATATAACCCAATTAAAAAAGGCTTTTTGGGAGCCCCAGTAATTTTTAAGAGTGTATAGGGATCCTGAGATCCAATAGTTTGAGGATACCGAATTAGACATTTTTCTAGCTATGTTGTGGTAATTGGTTTAGAGTTAACTTTGATTCATGGTACACTTGGAAACAAATATATTCACTATCTGAATGCTAAACATGGCTTGACTTTTGCTTTTTTCTCCTTGGGAGAAAAATCATATTGGTATTCTATACCAAACTATGCTCATGCATAGAGTAATCCCTGTTTTACCTTTCCTAGTTCCAAATAAGGTTAGATAATCATGAACAAATTGGAAAACAAAAAGCCTTCTATAAAAACTAATGTTTTTGAGAGCTTTGTTTCAGTCTAATGAAGATGTATTGAAATTAGCAGAGATTAAATTCTGCCCTTTAGAAATGCAGTGGGAAATCTTGCCATAAATGTGCTTTTTTCCTCATTCTGCTCCTGTTTTGTCTTTTTCCATTTTACAGAGCCTTTGTTTCCCTCTTCTTCTCATCTTTCTTTCAGACCTTTTCTTTTATTCATTTCTCCCCCTTTTCCCTCTGTCTTATTATAGCTGGAGGTAATTTCTCCTGTGCTGCAGTGTGTGGTTTCTGCGGTGTCCTCTAAGAAAGCTGCTGAATCAGTAAGTATGAGCAAGGCGTTGACAAAGCGTAGGTGCGTCTTTACATTCTCAGCTCTAGGACTTCAGCAGTCTTCTGTTCCGTATGTAAAATTCAACACTGGAGTCTATGCTGTGCTTCCCATTCTTAGATTTCTGGAGGCTGTGAAGGAAAGATAGGGAAAAGGATTTTAACTTAAGACTTCCGCCTTCTAGAAGAAATGACTTCAAAATAGGTCCTACTCTATACTGTGTTCTTCATAGATTTCTTTCTCATTTTTCCTCTAGTCCAAAAGTCACTCCCGAGTTGGCCTGAAATCAAGCACGAAGCAAAAGGTATGTTTTCTTCCCCTCTACATTGTTCCTTTAAAATATCATTATTTTGGCGGATGCTTTTATTTTTTTCAAAGAGAATGACTTGTTTTGGGAAGGTAAGGATACTCCCAGAAATAAGGCATTTTGGGATTTTCATTTACTTTGTTTCTACAATAGCAAAACTGAAATGGGAGAAGAAATCCTTGAAATGAAATGGAATGAGAGAGATTCTGGAAACCCAGTGACAGAAGCTGAGAATTTCCCAGGGCTTACAAGCAATTCTGAAAGCAAGGTCAGAAGATAATGTACCAGATTCAGTGCTCATATTTTTTAAGCCCTTTACTTTTTAAGTAAAGGAATTTGCTTCTATCTCAGTTCCTGTTTTCACTAAACTTTATTCTCTCAGGATCTGCTATGGAGAATGACCCTCACCTATGACCCATGGTGAATTGGCTAAAACATGAGTTCTGAGTTAGAATTGGTTTCAATTCCTGGTTCTGTTACTTTACTAGCTATGTGACCTTGGACATATTTGTACCAAGAAGATGACTGTACCTACTAGAGTAGTATATTTTAAGGATAAAATGGGATGAGATAACATTTGTGACAACACTTATATCCTAATGCCTAGCACAAAATAGGCACTTCATTTTTAAAATCCTATATTATTTGATTGGTCCTTTAGATACACAGAACGGTAGAAAATTTGAAATTCCAAAATCTTAATCCCCAGATAGACACAGACACATACACACACATTTACATATATTTAAATTATGTTAATTCCTGGTGACACATAGGGCAGTGATATAAATAGATTTATTAGAATTTGGAGAAGCTCCTGTTAAAAAATTCTTCTTCTTTTTTTTTTTTTAAAGATTTTATTTATTTATTTGACAGAGAGAGACACAGCAAGAGAGGAAACACAAGCAGGGGGAGTGGGAGAGGGAGAAGCAGGCTTCCCGCTGAGGAGGGAGCCCAATGCGGGGCTCGATCCCAGGACCCTGGGACCATGACCTGAACCGAGGGCAGACGCTTAATGACTGAGCCACCCAGGCGCCCCCCAAAATTATTATTCTAATGTCGATGTTTGAGCCTGTTGGAGTAGTTGCCTAACCTTTTAGGATAATGGACGTATTAACTAGGAATACCTTTCTTGATGTCAATTGTTAGAGAAAAAAACACTTCAAGAATGCAAAGCATCTAAGAGGTGCTTAAGGAGATTAAAAGAGGTAACATCTGTGAAAGCTCTAAGCCCAGTGCCTAAGAACATAGGAGCTATTTTTATTAGCGGAACATCATATTGTTTGGGAAGAAGATGGGCAGACACGGGTTCCAGCCCCGCTTCAAACTTACCAGCTCATAACAGCGAACACCCGTAGAGCAAACACTGCTCCAGGAACAGTTATGAGCACTTATTTATTTATTTTATTTTATTTTTTTAAAAAGATTTTTATTTACTTGACAGAGAGAGAGGGAGAGAGCAAGCACAAGCAGGGGGAGCAGCAGAGGGAGAGGGAGAAGCAGGCTTCCCGTTGAGCAGGGAGCCCGATGTGGGGCCCAATCCCAGGACCCCGGGATCATGACCTGAGCCGAAGGCAGATGCTTAACCGACTGAGCCATCCAGGCGCCCCTATGAGCACTTATTTAATCCTCTCCCATCTAGGGTGAGGCAGGGTCAGAAATGAAACCCAGCCAACCTGGCTCCAAAGTTTATGCTCTTAACCTCTTGAACAAGTGACCAGACACAGGGACTGAGTGGGAGAGGCTGGGAGGCAGCAGTGCTGGGAAGTTCCTAGGCACCTGGCGGGAGGTCGTAAGATGTTTGTGTGCAGGGATGTGAGACTTAAGGGCTCCAGGCCGGGTGCTCTCATGCTCTATGGGCCCTTTTGCTCTTGCATGGTCGATAGATTCGGAGACAGGACCTGGTACAGGCAGGGCCTTAGAGCCTTAGAAATCGCTAACCGAGAAAGGATCAGGACCCTCCCGTGTAAATCAGGCTGTTTTTATGCTTTATTTCCTCTCTGTGTTTACTTTCTGTTTGCTTAAAAGTGCCAAGTATCCTGGTATCCCCAAAGAACTTATATATGAGTTTTGGTCAGAACTTTAAGGGGAAGCTGACCTGCAGGCTAGCATGGTAGCCGTTCATTTGGCAAATGAATATTCTATTGCCCCAGTGTAGAATTTCAGTGAGCGTGTCTGAAATAAATAGATAGCTCTTTTGTCCCCTTTCCACAAAACTTACCTTCTACTCCCCAAGTATCTTTTCAAGATTCATAACCATATTGGTAGTAAAAATAACATAAAATCAATGTTCTGGTTGCTTTGCAAATATTCAGTGGTTGCACTGTTTTCATTCGATTTTATTTATTTATTTATTTTTAAATATTTTATTAATTTATTTGACAGAGAGAGATAGCGAGAGCAGGAACACAAGCAGGGGGAGTGGGAGCAGGAGAAGCAGGCTTCCTGCTGGGCAGGGAGCCTGATGTGGGGCTTGATCCCAGGACCCCGGGATCATGACCTGAGCCGAAGGCAGACGCTTAACGACTAAGCCACCCAGGTGCCCCTTCATTCGATTTTAATCAGAAAGAAAATTGAACTGCCAAAGCCTACAGTAACGGAGTGTTTTAAGTATTCTGTCTCCTGCCCAAACATTTCTCTGGTGTTCAGAGATCTTAAGTTTACAACGTATATCCTTTCTTCTATTAAAACCATCTTTTCAGATCTGATAAATAAATTCACAGTAAGTTACACTTGAATTATATGGCTTAAAGTCTAATCTCTCCTAAGAGTGTTTGCATTTTAATAGGTGACAGAGCTAATGAAAGGGTGGAATTTCTGGCATTAGCAAGCAGGGGACAATTTTGGGTTGGTAGAAAGATCTTATCCTTTCTCCTAAAATGATATCGTTTACCTGTAAGATCGATTCTGGAGGAAATATTAACTGATTAGATGACCTAGGGTCACGAATGTATCTAGTGGGTAGGGAGTCAGGGCTCCAATTTGAAGCACCGAGGTTGGCATTTTGCTACTCAGCCCATGATCATCTCCTTCCTCCCACTCCATTCCCTGCCAACTTCCTTATTAATGAGTGTAATATCCCTTTTTCCCATGCAACTATAAGCTCTCCTCCAAACAAAAATTGTGTTTTGTTAATATTTGTGCCTTTCCTCTACCCCCTTCTTTGTGGCACCTAATATATGAGAGCTTCCTAAATGTTGAAAAGTGTATTGAAAAAACAGCCCATACTCTAAAACCGTATTATGGACAATAAGAGAGCCCAGTATTAGTCTCAGGTCCCTGGAGAAGTAGCTTATAGTTTTTCCTGCTAAAGACTAAAAAAGGCTCTTACACATTTCCTGTGGTATTATTTTCATTTTCTAATTCTACCGTTAGTCTCCATCAGCAGTGTTCTTTTGCCCTTCTGCACCCTCCTTTCAATTCCCGCCCCCCATGCACAGCCTCTCCCACTATCAGCGTCCTGCCCCAGACTGGTACATCTGTTACACTGATGAACCTACACTGATGCTTCATTATCACCTGAAGTCCATAGTTTACATTAGGGTTTACTCTTGGTGTTTAACATTCTGTGGGTTTCAAACAGTGTATGACATGTATCTGCCATTATAGTATTATACCCAATAGTTTCACTGTCCTAAAAGTCCTCTGTGCTTCCCCTGTTCTAGTCTTTGCTCCCAACCTCTGGCAGCTACTGATTTTTTCAGTCTCCACTGTTTTGCCCTGTCCAGAATGTCCCATTGTTGGAATCATACAATATGTAGCCTTTTCAGACTGGCTTCTTTCACTTTATAATATGCATTTAATGTTCTTCCATGTCTTTTCATGTCCTGATAGCTTATTTGATTTTAGCGCTGAACACCAGTTGTCCATTGTCTGGATGTGCCACAGTTTGTTTATCCATTCATCTACTGAAGGACACTTGGTTGCTTCCAAGGTTTGGCAATTACGAATAAAGCTGCTATGAACATTCATGTGTGGGTTTTTGCATGAACAAATTGTCTTCCATTCATTTGGATAAATACTGAGGAGTGTGATTGCTGGATCAGTTTTTCTTTTTTCTTTTCTTCCTCCCAAATGACTCACAGCCTTTGCTTGATTGTCTTCAAATTTCTATATCAATTGGTGTGTTTTCTCAAGTGTCCTTCCTGTTCTTGGCTGTGTATTTCCTGCATGGAGCCTCCTGAGTCCCTGAGAATGATCTGTGTTCCACTTGGAAGAATGTAAGGAAAGAGACACACTATGTAACAATAGTACAAAGAAGTTTTTAATGGAACAGCTAGATTTGGGCAAGTTAAGAAGTAAAAACCAGAAGATGAGCGTCTAAGAGTTAAAATTCTGTCTGCTCATGTGTTTCTGCTGGCATCAGAGAGAGTCATTTGGGCCCTTTACATAGCTGTGAGGATCTGAACAATGAATCTAGCTTAAGGGACATTAAAAGTCACTGCTTTCTAGTAGTGGCAATTCCCCTTGAAGGTCCTGGCAGGAGATGGAAAGGAAATCAGACTCCTTGAAGTGGAGTCCATATTATCTTTCATCTGTGTTATCTTTTCATGGCCTATGAAAGATGCCCAGTGGCTTTCTGGAAGATGCAGCCCAAATGAAAAATGACAAAACAAGCAAGATGAATTTAAAAGAGATGGAGATCATCTCTACAGAGTACAACAATAGGGATTCTAAGAGAGCCTACTATTTTTTGCAGAAAAACAAAAACAAAAGTAAAAGACACCTGAATTAGCATTTCTATGTTTTGCTTTTTAAAAATGCTATTTTACTTTTCTAGAAAGAGGGAAGTTTTTCAGACAAATATTGTTCAAAGGATCAATGGCTGTGAATCACACACACTGACAGTAACTTTTACAGTTATCTCATTTCTGAATTGTATCCTTAAAAGACCCGGAAGGACAAACTGGGCATTTCAGCAATGTAGGTCAAATTCTATTGCCATGAGCTCCAGGGGACTGTCTGTCCCATGCTTTTTCCCCCTCTTGGACTTGTGT